TCGTCCATATCAACGACCTCCAGTCGCCACTGATATTCGTTTTTCATGGCTGCTTCTACTTCAACTACGACATTTACCAACATCCCTCCAATTCCTTGTTAAAAGTTGATCGGAGAAGCCAATTATACCACTTGGGCAGCTACGGTTCAGCTTTGGTTTCGTGGTCAAGAACGTGCCGACCACTTAACCACTCATTTTTCTGCAATTGCTACCGATAACCGTGAGCAGTGGCAACAAATTGATGCCTCACTGTGTACGGTTCTTTGGTTTTCTATTGCTCCGAACCTTCAACATTCTTATCAAGCATTCGACACATGTTACGATGTTTGGCACAAGGCCAAGAAAGTTTACGCTAATAATGTTTGTTGGAATTCAAGTGTGAAGCAAAGTCCCACATTGGTTAGAGTTGGGCATGTTGAGTAATATATAAATGAGAAAGACCCACTTACCTAATGCCTTAAGGTTTTAGGTTATGTTGTGGTGTCAAGCTCACTTATATGACTTACTTACTACCCATTGTATGGAATGCTCCCTAGTGTTCTAAACTCCCCAACATTGGTATCAGAGCCGATGGTTCGACCAAGTGACTGGTGATCGGCTCAAACGAGTATTGGCTAGATCCAAGAGTGGGATCCTAAATGGAATTGGTAGGAGATCCAAGAGTAGGATCATCCCTTGTATTGAAAGTCTCCCTAGAGATGTGGAGGACGTGTGTCGTTGAAGTGCAACGATAGTACAAGTAAATTCTGCTTGAGGGAGAGCGTGACCATGTGGAAGGGATTCAAACTTGAGGGGGAGTGTTGGAATTCAAGTGTGAAGCAAAGTACAACATTGGTTAGAGTTGGGCATGTTGAGTAATATATAAATGAGAAAGACCCACCTACCTAATGCCTTAAGGTTTTAGGTTATGTTATGGTGTCAAGCTCACTTGTATAACTTACTTACTACCCATTGTGTGGAATGCTCCCTAGTGTTCTAAACTCCCCAACATTGATCTAGGATAGGCGGGACTTGAATTTTTCCCAATACACCCCCTCACGTCCAGCACTATTGGGCTTGGTACGTGGATAAATGGTGGGTGACCCATTTTTAAAGTGGATCTAAATGGCTCTGATACCATGTTAGAATAGTGGATTAAGCCTAACTCAACCCTACAAAACCGGCTTGTAAGGGGAGGGTTGCATTTCACTTATATACTATTCAATTGCCTAATCTCTAGTCGATGTGGGACTTGGGTTTTTCCCAATACACCCCCTCACGTCCAGCACTATTGGGCTTGGTACGTGGATAAATGGTGGGTGACCCATTTTTAAAGTGGATCTAAATGGCTCTGATACCATGTTAGAATAGTGGATTAAGCCTAACTCAACCCTACAAAACCGGCTTTCTATTGTTCCGAACCTTCAACATTCTTATCAAGCATTCGACACATGGTACGATGTTTGGTACAAGGCCAAGAAAGTTTACGCTAATAATGTTCAACGTCTTTACAACGTCATCACCAATATGATGACCACTAAGCTTGAGAATAGGACATACAGACATATTTGAGTAAGCTTGACCATCTGATTGCTGATTACAATAATTTAATGTCTTACCCCTCTGATGTGGCAAGCTTTGAGAAACAGCGAAACCAGTTCTTCATGATTCTTGCACTTGCTGGTCTTCCTCCTGAGCTTGAGTCTGTCCGTAATCAGATTTTGTCTGCCCCTATTATTCCTACATACGACATTGTTAGTGAACAATTGTTGTGTCTCTCCATCTCTCATACTGTGGCTACTCCTTCTGCAACTGCTGCAGACTCCTCTGCTCTTGTTTCTCACTCATCTAATCGTGGTAGTGGACGTAACGAAGGTCGTGGAAAACAGAATCGTCGTTGCAATTATTGCCACCTCTTTGGTCATCTTGAAGTCAACTATCGCAAAATGGCCCGAGAACAGTCATCATTCAGCTTCGAGCAGCCCAACAATCTGCCTCGCCTGCCACTACCGTGGCTCACTCTGGTAATCCTGTAGCCTTTATGTCTCGGTCTCCTCTTGGACCTTGGATTCTTGACTTCGGTGCATCTGATCATATGACTGGTAATCAATCTTATTTCTCTAAATTGTCTTTCTCCGACTCTTTGCCACCTGTTACTCTTGCCGATGGTTCTCAAATTAAAGTTCATGGCATTGGTCAAATTCACCCACTCCCTCACCTCCCTTTACATTCTGTTCTGTTTGTTCCTGGTTGTCTTTTTAATTTAATTTCCATTAGCAAACTCACCAGTACCCTTGATTTCTCTGTGTTGTTTGTTAATAATTCTGTTCTTATTCAGGATCGGCGTACTGGACAGACGATTGGAGCAGGACATGAGTCTGGGGGATTGTATCGTCTCTCATCACCGATTGTGTGTATTTCCACCTCTGCCGATCTTGCTCATCAACGTCTTGGTCATCCCAATTTGGAAAAATTACGACTTTTAGTTCCTAGCCTTTCTATCGTTAAAAACATCCAGTGTGAGTCATGTCAATTAGGGAAACATGTCCGTCAGTCTTATCAATCTAGTGTCCATAAATGTGTTGTGTCACCATTTACCCTAGTTCACTCCGATATTTGGGGACCTAGTCGAGTCTGTTCAACTTTAGGTTATTCTTATTTTGTTACCTTTATTGATAATTTTTCGCGTTGTACTTGGGTTTTCTTAATGAAACACCGTTCTAATGTTTTTCATATTTTTCAAAGTTTTTTCACTGAAATTGCTTCTCAATTTGGTCAATCTATTAAAATCTTACGCACTGATAATGCAAAAGGGTATTTATCTTCAAAATTCCAGTCTTTTCTTTCCTCCCAAGGTATTCTTCATCAGACCTCTTGTGCCCACACACCACAGCAAAATGGTGTAGCTGAACGCAAAAATCGTCATTTGGTTGAGACAGCTCGTACTATTCTCCTTCATCACAAAGTTCCACTTCGATTCTGGGGTGATGCGATTCTTACTGCTTGTTACTTGATTAATCGCATGCCCTCCTCTGTTCTCAGCAATCAAATCCCATACACCATCCTATATCCACAAAAAGATCTCTATCCTGTTCCACTTCGCGTCTTTGGTTGTACATGTTTTGTCCATGATCTCACTCCAGGTAAAGATAAATTTTCTGCTAAGTCTCTCAAGTGTATATTTCTTGGTTATTCTAGACTCCAAAAAGGGTATCGTTGTTTTTGTCCACAACTTCAACGCTATATTGTTTCCGCTGACGTTTCCTTCTTTGAGTCATCCTCTCCTTTCTTTTCTGAGGATATTACTAGTCATACTTCTTTGGATGATCAACCTATTATTCCAACTCCGGCTCTGGCTGTAGTCATTGATCCACCACCATTACTTGTCTATCAGCGTAGGACACGTCATCCACAGGTGGTTCCATCTACAACTCCCCCAGCTTCATCTTCTGCTCCAACCGACTCTCTGGCGATGCCTCCTGCACTTGAACATCCTTTGCCTGAGTTACCCATTGCCATTCATAAAGGTATTCGAACTACCCGCAATCCTCATCCTTTATATGCTTGTACTCTTTCCTGTCATCGATTGTCTCCTTCCTACTTTTCTTTTGTTTCTTCTTTGGATTCTGTGTCTATTCCCAAGTCTACAGGTGAAGCTATGGCTGATTCTCGGTGGAGACAGGCGATGCTAGATGAAATGGATGCTTTGCAGACTAGTGGCACGTGGGAGTTGGTACCTTTACCACCTGACAAGTCTACCGTTGGTTGTCGATGGGTGTACACAGTGAAAGTTGCACCAGATGGTAGCATTGACCGCTTTAAAGCGAGATTGGTTGCAAAGGGCTATACTCAAATCTATGGCCTCGATTATGGGGATACTTTCTCCCCTGTCGCCAAGATGACTTCTGTTCGCTTGTTTCTTGCTATGGCTGCAATTCGTCATTGGCCACTACACCAATTGGATATTAAAAATGCCTTTTTAAATGGTGAATTGCAAGAAGAGGTTTATATGGATCAGCCCCCTGGCTTTATTGCTTCCGGTGAGACTTACCTTGTTTGTCGTCTTCGTCGTTCTCTTTATGGCTTGAAGCAATCTCCTCGTGCTTGGTTTGGACGCTTCAGCTCTGCCTTGATTGAGTTTGGTATGACTCATTGTGAGGCTGACCACTCTGTTTTCTTCCTTCACTCTTCATCTGGAATTTGTATTTATTTAGTAGTGTATGTTGATGACATTGTCATTACTGGTGATGACTCCGATGTATTTGTCGCCTCAAATCTCATCTTCAACGCCAATTTCAGATGAAAGACCTTGGTCCACTTAGATATTTTTTGGGGATCGAGGTTGCTACTCCACTTCTGGTATTGCATTTTCCCAAAGAAAATATGCTCTGGACATTCTCACTGAGACTGGTATGGTTGATTGCCGCCCTAGTGATACTCCGATGGATCCCAACATCAAGCTTCTTCCTGGTCAGGGGGAGCCATTGGATGACCCAGAAAGATATCGTAGACTTGTTGGCAGACTTAACTATCTTATTGTCACCAGGCCAGACATCGCATTCCCAGTAAGTGTGGTAAGCCAATTCATTAACGATCCTCGTGATAGTCATCGGACTGTAGCAATGCGGATACTCAGATATATCAAGAAGGCACCGGGCCGAGGACTACTATACGAGGACAAAGGCAATTCCAAAATTGTCTATTATTCAAATGCTGATTGGGCAGGATCACCATCAGACAGAAGGTCCTCCTCTTGCTATTGTGTTCTAATTGGAGGCAACCTAATTTCATGGAAAAGCAAGAAGCAAACTACAGTTGCTAGATCCACTGCGAAAGCTGAATATCATGCTATGACAGCAACTGCAAGTGAAGTTACATGGCTACAACAACTTCTCAAGCAACTTCAAATTGGAGACACTCAGGGAACTAAACTCATCTGTGATAATGAAGCTGCTCTCCACATTGCCTCCAATCCAGTCTTCCATGAGCGGACTAAACACATAGAAATAGATTGTCATTTTGTAAGAGAGAAAGTGTTCTCAGGAGAAATCACCACTGAATTTGTCCACTCTAGTGACCAGTTAGCAAATGTGTTCACAAAATCTCTTAAAGGACCTCGGGTTGATTATATTTGTAACAAGCTTGGTGCATATGATATATATACTCCAGCTTGAGGGGGAGTGTTACAGATATTGTGAATATATTACAGATATTGTAGATACATATATTATGGTTATTATCCTCACTATCAATTAGGGATATGATTAGATTAGTTTCCATAATATAAGAGATTAGTATCTCTATCATTTATTGTATTCACTCTATAAATAAGATTGGTGTGTACAACAATACACACAATTCCTGAATCACAAGAACATCAAACATGTCATGTCAACAATCTATTAGTATTTTGACGAGAAATTGACAAGAGAGCACAAATCACCAAACTTTAAAAGTTTGGGGGCATAATTTGAGAGAAAAAAATTGGGGAAAAGTTCAGGGGATACAAAGTGCAATTAAACCTAATCTTAATTTCAGAAAACAATAAAAAATGAGTGGAAAACCTAAGACAAACAAAATCAATTATCATTTATCAAGATGGAAGCGACCCAAATATTTTTACTTGAAAATATGCAACAGCTTATCAACTGACCTTGATTCGTAATTTAAATATGCACGAGATGTAATGAGAATTTTCTTAAAATAAAAAAAAAACTTATAGAAAGCTCACATTGTGACGCAGCAAGATATCTTCAAGAGCTTTGCAGCCAAGAAGAGCAGAAGCCCCATTAGCTGTTGCTTCTCCACATTCCTAAAAAAATATGCATCCTTGCAATTAAAATTTACATATAGAAACCTATATTCCTAGAGGATAGATAGTATGATAAGGCTTCAGAACAAAAGAATCTCATTATGTTATTAGCATTAGTTATCTTTATAAATAAGACCTCCATGTTATATTAAAAAGGTAAGGACTCTTTTTCCATGTCCCTTCTCTCTTCCTCATACTTGTGAACAATGTAGGAACTATGATCACATGCATCATCTAAAGAAAAAGTATTTGATGTATAAAAACAAATTAAAAGGAAATAATTGCCATAATCAAAGGATTAGCACTCAGTCTCCACATCAAATGAATAAGCATAACATTTTCTGAGCTCCCGATAATGAAAACCAATTTCTTCCTCCCATTCCCCAGCAGAAAAAATTATTCATTGTTATAAAATTTCTGTCCAGAAGATGACAGCTGCAAGCCACATATATTGCTTGGTTTCATATTACACAAGAAACAACAGTTCTGTATGAATATTTATGATTATCTACCAACATGCTATAACCATGTGTGAGATAATTCTAAGTGTTTCTAAAGGGGAGGAATTAACAAACCTCTAAATGGATAGAGACCAAGCCTGGCCATCCACATGAAATTATCTGTAGAGAATCTGCAATGAGAAATAACAACTTTGACAAACATATAAATTATCACCAGTTGATTAAATTAGCTGTGGTCAACCACTTTGCTATAACTGTACAAGAGAAAATTCACCATCTTGCTATTACCCCCTTCCTCTTTTAACATTTTTCTCTTTGTTGCTATTGATTAGTGACCACTAAGGAATTCTAAGTAGCTATAGTGGCTGTTCCAGTTTATAATATTTTTGTTATCTAGAGGGTTCAACTTGTTCAAATTAGATGCATATGATACAAAATCATGTCCTATGAATTAAGTAAAGTTCACTTAATAATCATTACAACTAATTATTCCTTACCTGGGTCAAGAAGAGGACACCCTAGCAATGAAAGCTCAACCAAATTTCTGCAGTTTTGAGTTAGAACAACCAAATCATCATTTGTCATCCATCGGGTTACTCTTTCAAGTCTCAACTTTGTTAGATTTTGCATAGGGAATTTGAAGCTTGACATGGATATATCACCAAAACAATAGCACATAGCTAATTCTTGCAAGTTTTTCAAGGAAGTAATTAAGTTTATCACAACAATATCAGATATTACCTGTAAAAAATAAAAACAAAAAAAGCAACAAACATAATTTTAGCAATGTGATACAACATCTGATAACTGAAAGCAGAAGCATACATAAAGTACAAGTTATAGTTAAAACAAGAAACATGCATTTCCTAAAGAGAAATGAGAAGAATCGGAAAGACAACAATTAGGCTATAAATGATGAAACTAATTCAAAGTATAAACCTTGACTCATCTGAGGAGGCAATAAAGATGGAACTCCATGAACTGTAGATGTTGAATGGAAAAGTTTAACCACTAAATTAATTGAAGGATAGAGTTTCTCCCTTGTTCTTCCATACTATGAGTAATTGAAATAATTTTTCTATATTTTTAGGGAGCAATAAAGAACCTCAAATCACAGTGAAGATAATTATCACCTGAAAATGAAGGATTATTGTTTCTAACAAGGGGCAGATTGCAGGTAATTGTTTCAAAGCATCTTCACCCAACATTCCACCTAAACCTACATTGATGGTTTTTAATGACATCAGTGCAGGTTCCAGAGCACTCAAAGAGAAGGAAGAAAAGCCCCATCCAAATTCAATTTCTTCCAATCTACACATTTTTCCTAAATCAGCATGTAGTTTTTCATGCAAAGAGGAAAAGCTAGATTCTCTCTTTTCAACACAATTGTCTCCCGGAAACAAATTTTTACAGTCTCTTGCTTTCAGACACTTTAAGCGTGGATTTCCATGAATAACATAAGCTAATGCAGCCCCAGAAATCTGCAATTTCACAAAAGAAAAGAAAATTTGAAAAATCAAAATAAAAAAAGTAAGTAATTATCATGAAAGTAGTGTGGGTGGCATGCAAAATACTAATATATTTGTACTCCATGGTGTCACAATTACCCAACCAAAATGTCTCTGCATATCAATTAAATTTTATTGGGAAATGTTTTATGATATAACAGTAGGTGCATTAGTATGCATAAAATATATCAGCTAAGCACACAGAAGAGATTTGCACAAGAGAATTTGGAATAGAGGGATGAAACTGAATAACACGCTACAAACTTTGACCAGCCTTTATAATTAAAGCAAGCATAAAGGTTTATAATGTGTATGTAAGTAATAAATGCATCTAAAACAACAGCAAGGATTCAACAGGAGAAGGATATAACTTGTTTATTAGCCAATCTTAATGCAATTAAAGGAGACATATACATCATGCTTAGTTATTTTAGGTGGAGACTAGCCCTGTAGGTTTTAACTACCATCTATCAGACCCAAAAACCTTCTTGTAAATTAGAATGATGCAAGCATTCTGACCACATGTCCTTAAACTTCAGCAAGCAGTACAGTTTCAGTAAAATAACAAGACATCAACAACTATTACCACTACAAAGATAAAGACGAAAAATGCCAGTTTCAAAATTGACAGCAAACCTTAGTGTTTGAAACATCAAGCATCTCCAAGGAAGAACCTACAAAATTATACAGTGCCTGGTCAACCAGGTCAGTCCCTCTCAGGCATAAACTCTTCAAAACTTGTGTTTGAGACATAAGCTCTAGTAGAGATGACTCACAAACACCTACAAAACAAAAATTCATCATTTGTTTTTCAATGTAAAACGGAAGTTCATAAAAAATGAAAAATGTAAAATATTCCTCTCAAAACAACAGTACTTGGTGTTGTACAAGCTGTTTTCAATTGTAAAGCATAATTTAGTCCCTTATTACATTTAAAGAATAAATGATTCATGAGGTTATCACTAAAATGAATTCTTTCGCCTCAAAAATGTGAGGCACAAGCTTGGAAATAAAACATAAAAATTGGTGGGCTGAGCACCTAGTTCCACATGCAATCAAAATTTTAAGGCCTAACATGTCGAGAGATCATAAAGGTGATCCAAAGAAAACATTATTATTTGAGTGATGTATGCCTATATCAAAAGCAAACACATACAGACAGGAAAAATCTGGATTTTCCCCATACCATACAAAAAAAAGGTATGTTAAACCATTTTCATTTTTCAGTCCTTTGTTTTGTTCACATGAAACTTGATCTAAGGGAGGTAAAGTTTATCATAAATGACCCAGTAACTTCTGAATGTTAAAAACATATGCAGCCAGTAAAAGGTATTTATTGAAAACTTATACAAGCCAAGTATTTACATATTCACTTTCGCAGTTCACCCAAATAAACTACGGAAGGAATACAACTTACCCCTGCAGCCACCCATATGCAGTGTTTCCAAATTAGACACCACAGAAATACCTATAGCGTGTACCGAGGGGAAGTTGCTACTATCAATAGCTGAGCAAAGAGCTTGAACTGAATTTATCCCAAATGAAGTATCACAAGTCACAATAGAATTAAGTTTTCTACACGTGGATATGAGGTCTGATATTCCAATATCGGTGACAGAAATGCATCCTTTAATATTCAGGTGACGCAATGAACCACATAATTTGGAGATGTAGCGAAGACCCAAATCTGGCAGGAAAAAAATATTGGATGTTAACATGGACAAAAACATGTAAACTATAAGAAGAAAAAAAATATTTAGACTTTATATGAATATTTTCGCCAGAAAAACCCATACCACTGACATCAGTTCTTCCTTCCAATGTGAGTTTTGTAACGTTAGAAAGAGGTGGTCCAAATCTATTAAATAGCATGATTTTCACTTCTTCATAAGGCTTCTCTGGTACCCGTGGTAGCACAGCAGAACTAGAGGATAAAACTGTAAATAATGCCGGTACCACTGGGGTAATATCAACAGTCAAGTCAATTTCGCAGACCATAGGACGTGTCTCCAATAATTGAAGGAAACTGATTGTCCCAATGTGCAAAAGATAAGCTGCTTTTAATATTCTTAAAGAAGGAAAGGACTTGCAGAAGCAATCAACAGCATGTTCAATAAGCAAATATCGACACTTAGAGATATCCACCTCCTGAACTGCTTCAAAGGTTAAGGTTTTTGACAGATTTTGTGTGAACACACATTTATCTCTTATAGGATGACCACAATTAATAAACAATTGTTTTATAATATTCTTTTGCATGGGATCTGTTAAACATGATTGAGGGATGAGTGACAGAAGAAGTATGGTAGATGTTATTTGCGGGCAACCAGAAAGGTTCACTCTCTGCATACAATGAAAATTTACGTCACAAAAGCATGATAGCATTTCTAATACATTATCAGATTCCTACAGACAGCTAATAGACAAGTTGGCTAAGATATTAATCAAAATGATGTGATTGAATAGAAATTGCAAATACTTAAACCAAAAATCAGAAGGAAGTAAGAAACCAATGGATACTTTCAATAAAATGTTGATTTACAGAGAGTCCAAATGCCAAAGACATGGTAGTTACACGACTAGAAGGATTAAAAACCACATTAGAATGTTTTATGGGTCTCTTGACATTAGATAACAGAAAAGTGAACTTCGGTCTATGCAATGCCTATCTGTTCAAGTAATAACTCGCAATATTTTTGTCCATATCATCAAAAGAAATAAAAGATAGTATCATCTTTGACATTTCACTTAAGTTGGTATGGAATATGGAGGGACATTGCCAGTTCATTTTCTAATTCTACTTCAAAATGTTCATATAGAAGCAATCTCAATTATTAACCAAGGATTAATAAGGCACAATTCATACAAGATAGTAATCATTCTTTTCATTTATTTTCTTTCTTTCTGAAAAATTGGGCAATATCATAAATGCAAAGCATTAAAGGATCCTAATCTAAAGCAAAAAAAAATAATCAACAAAGCCAAAATCATTGAGTGGCTTTCAAGTATTAAAAGTACCTTCGAATATTCTGTCAGCCTAATCCTGAGATGATGCAAGTCTCTATACTCAAAAGTATCCAGTGAACCCATAGGAACAATATTTAATAGTCTGAAAATTGAATCAAGGCTTTCCTCAGCCAGCTGTTTAAAATAAAGGGAGTTTCTTTTTCCTGTTAAACAAATAAAAAAATTACCTTACATTAACTAGGAATTTCTGCATGAAAAATAAAGACTTCAGGGCTTAATATTAAAAAGCTGAAGAAAATTGTATACCTAGAGCAAACCACAAAGGCAAAAGGCCTACACGAATCTGTTAAGAAGCAAAAATAAATTTATATGTAGTCTAAGCATAAATGACATGGAAGCATATAGAAAAATTGTCATCAATGGGAAAGCTAAAATTTTGATGGAAAAATATTAAACAAAATTTAAGACCTTGATTAATATGTGTGCCAATGAACATTCAAATGATATGGAAGCATATGGCAAAATCGTCAATTTATATGCCAATTTAAGACCTGGAATTTTACATTTCTCAAAAATGCATAGGGTCATTTGATGTATGTCGGCGAGGGTTTAAAATGTGTGCCAATGAACACATATTGTGGGATAACTATCAAGGTGAGTAGAATTACATGCGAAGGACACTGGGAAGAGGGAACATAGGGAATCATTTCATGTAAGCATAGGAGGTGAGAGGCAGTGAAGTAAGCCAGTTTCACCATTTGAATCCTTAGTTTCTGATGATGCTTGTTATCGTCAGTATGCATCAATAAATAATCTTTACACCAGCACAGTCTTGAATGTATTTCAGGCAACCATTTTTATGAGATTAAATTACACCAATATTCCCTGATTAAAATTACATTACAGGATCTGACAGACCACCCTTCTATTCTAAAAGCCAATATATATCTTTTGACAGTTGAATGAAACAGTAATGTCATAATCACATTTTATCAGTATGGTTCTTTTGTAGTAAAATGTGGCTGTTGTCACTCACTATTGGGCTTGGCTGTTGTAGGTTTGCAAAATAAAAGATTGATAGATGTAATTTTTAATAAACATGTAATGATTAGAGTAGTTTGCTCTTTTTCATGAGAACATATGTTACTTATCCATCAATTACATTGCAGAAACTACAAATTAAGCTGAACTGAGACTAGCAAGTAGAAATCTAGATCAAGTTATGCTCTCCATATAAATGTAAGGCATCTAAGTATGGTTGCTTAAGTAGGGAAGTTCCCTTCTATATTTGACCACATATAGCAACAAGCAGTATATTCCATCAAAGTCTAGTGGCAACAGTCAGAACTTTAGAATATTTGGATTCTAAAAGTTTTAGATTCTTATATCATAATGTTAATGATTATTATTAGTTATAGTGTTTAGCTGAGTTCAATTTATCTCTTAGGAAGTTGATATATTTTAATTGTTTTCTTTAAAATTGTTGTCATTTAGTATTTTTATAATCACTATTATTATCAACAGATCAATCTGCTGAGTGGGAGATTCACTTAAGCATGTTTAAAAATTGAAATCTTAGTTTCTCTTTTTTCACAAGGAGAATTTGGGTTGTACTTTTCTTATCACAAAATCATAACATCTCGCAAATTCACAATTATGCAAGGTTACTTTTCCCCTTTCCATCTTCACCTTATAATTTTAAAAAGTAACCTTGTCCATAAATAGCATATTGTTGACAACATTCTGGTTTCAGTAATATAGTGAAGCATGTCCTTTTGTTTAGAAGATGGAAACAAACAGGATTCAGTTTGACCCTCTATGCAAGTAATTTTTCCCTTGACTGTTTCCATTATAGAATGGACTCAGGGCTTTTATATCAAATTGGGGCATATAACCTCACTTGTTTCAAAATTTCATTGCAGTCGTCTTCAGCTTTGCTTGGCCTCTCAAAATTTTCCAAGTTACTTTCAAGCCAGAGAAGAAGTGCATCAGAAACATGCAGCTCACTGTCAAGATACTATGACATAAGAATCTCAATTTGCTTAGTAAATTACATAGTATTAAATGAATCCATTTCATAAATAATCAGTCAACCTGTCAACAGTCAAGTGAGGGTGCTTTACTGAAGATAACAGCAAGTCATATGGAAGTTTTCCAAAAAAATTGCTATGCTTTGCCCACATCTGTAAAACAAGAAAATAAAAGAAAAATCTTCCATCATGTCACTTTAAATACAAAAATAAAAAAATTAAGCTTAGCATAAAGTAGGGGATAAAAAAAACAGAAATATTGTTGTCAGAAACTGTGTTTGTACTCTTGTACTGAAGTCTTTTCAAGACAGGCTCACCAGAGCCTATATCAGAGATGCTCATCCAGATTTTAGGCAGACAAAATGTTTAAGTCTTAATATTTAACATAGCAGAACTAATATCAGCAACGATAGAGGGGCAAAACATCCTCTTATTTCATTGTATGTTATTGTCCCTATATTAATATAAAATTCAAAATTACCAATCATGAATAGTGGCTCACAGCAGCCAACCACAGAAATGCTACAACACAATAGCAGATAGCAGGATGGTTACTATACCAAAGATTATTGATACAAACTAAACAATTTATACTACACACAAATAAACACTCAAAAAAATGCCCAAAATTAAAGATAATAATAAGCATAAGGATGCAAATTAACTACAGACTACATGAAGTTCACATCTTATCTATCAAACAAATTAACTAAAGGAAAACTGGCTCACTCAAAATATCAAGAGGTAAGTGGGTAATTGCCTTTCACATATCCATATGCATTTTATCTGACTAACAATATCATGATCGTATCTTCAGCAATTGAAGTCTGTTTTTAATAACCACAATTCCATTTTAATTTACAAATACAAGATATGACTCTCAAGTTTCAAACAGTAGTATGAAAAGCAAGTCTCTTGGTGGCACCATATCCTCAGGAAACAAAGTAAACAAACCACACACACAGGACAATACTATGCATGAATAAAACAAATCATTATATCAAGGGTATAGGTTTCAGTTCAACTCTCAGAGATATCTTGTTTTTGTAATTCACATTCACATATCCTGAAAACCCACTCTAAACTCTAAAGAAATTGTCACCAAAGGGATGCTAACATGATAATATATGTACAACCGCACAAACATTTCAGTAATAACTTGAGTCCATAATAGAAATTAGAGAAAAACATAACAGAGAGAAACTGAACTATGAGATCATCATTAAGAGAAACAGTACAGAGGATAAACCCTTATATAGCTAAGCCCTGTGACGCACTGCTGAGTCAGCAACTAACAAACACACTAACTGACTTTCTAACAGAATAAATGCAACTGAAATTACAGAACATAATAGTCCAATCAATAGGTATGTAAAAGCACCTCACAAGATTTATTTATGGGCAGACAGAGACACAACGATGCGTGATTAACAATTGAACAAACATTCCAAGGCATGAGATTACTGTTTATTGCACAAGCTCTAGTGAAAGAGTTGAGTACATACAAAATTTCTTGCTAGGTAGCCCATACATAAGTGCAGGATAAAGTCACTTGCTGCAAAAGCCAATACATTAAAATAAATAAATAAATAAATAACAATTGTTATAGAATAAACTGTGTGGTGTTATAGCCAAAAGCAAGAATAGAAAGGGCTGAAGTTGCAAGTTAATCACGTTTTCCATTAAAAACAACAAATTTTACCAAGGTCCGAGCCAAATTTCCAAATTTGAATCAAGTCCTCTAGTTGTATTTGAGTAGATTGAAACCCTTTAGGTGAGAATGCCTCAGAAAGCCATGTCTCACACTTCAAGAGAAGTGTCTCCACTCCAAAATAAAGCGCACCCTGAGCCATACAACAACAACACAAACAGCATCAGACAATAGAATGTCAAAATGACAAATACATTCACCTGTTTGGCAACGTCGGAGAGGAGCGCCGCTACTAGCGGCAGGAAAATCCCCCCGCCTTCGTCGACACCGAGGGAATCGCCAGCGCCAGCAAGAGAACGCGGCGGCGAACGATAGGGTTTTGGTGACGACGAAAATGCCCAAGCCTAAAATCGCGGAATCCTCGACCTCCAAGAGCCGAACCTGCGCTCAGTCCGAGCCCCACGCCCCCTTCCCGGACCAGGTCCTGGAGAACGTCCAACTACAAGTTTAAAGTTCTCCGAACATTGCAGTCACGGATTGCCCAATCAACGTAACAGCTCCACTTGTACCAACAGCATTAAACTAAAAAGTGAAAAAAAAAAAGGGTACCTCATAAAGAGGGAAGAAATTATCCAGTGCAATATCCAACACGCAGCCACACATATGCTTGAGAATTTGCAAAAATTCGCTCACATTCCAATTGATAGTGATAGAGCCCAAGCATGATTCGCTGTAGGAGTAATAAGTTGGCGGATTATTAGTTATCATGAGTTAGTAACGGCATATAACTAACTACAAGGTTTACATCACAAGTTTATCAGAACATGCATGCAAGAGCTTGAGTTCAATTTAAACACAATGACGGGGAAAAGAGAAAAACAAATCGCAAGGCTAACATAATTTCTACCTGAAGCTCCCGTCGAGAAGACCACGGAAATACAGAGATTGTTCAACGAGCCTGTTATGAAAACAATTGCAACTTAATCGACACTTGAGCCGTAAGTTAATACTTAATCGAATTCAATGAGAGAGTATAGGGAAGGAAGTGAAGAACCTATTGCGGTGTGCCTGAACCTTAATCGTCGGGAAGGTGAGAATGGTTGGGAAATCCCAAGCGAGGATATCTGTGGTAGACACGAGAATCTCATCGTTTAGGGTTTGCGTTGTTTCGATTGGATCAGTGTTGGTGCAGAGCAGGATAATGTGGTCGTCGTCATCGTCGTGTGAGACCTCCATGGATTGGCGTCAAGTCACTAGTACTACTCGCTTCGGTGGTGCCCGGAGCTGCTGCTTGGTCCTGCGGCGTTCGGAAAAGAGAGGTGAAGAATTATCGCTCGATGCCTGAAAGTTGAAATTTATGAAAAATGATGTTATAGATACACGTGAAGTGAAGAAACTAAAATGATACACGTTTGCTTCCACTAATTTACTATTCACGATAAAGGAGGGGAAGATGAACACGTGTTTGTTTCCGGTGAAATACATACTAAGAAAGAAAAGCGAGGAAAAGTGAGAGTATACGGAGAGTTCTTCGATAAACCATAAAAAAAAGTTAAGAAAGTTACGTTAGCAACGATCGAAAGACATGATTGTCCTTCTAAAAATTACGTGCATAATCAATTATGCATGGTACATATGTGCAACGACGGATGCAGGTATAAGAATGTGGGGGCAGTTGCCTAGAACGGGTCGTTCCCAAACTGGAACGGGTCGTTCCAAACTAGTAAATTGGCTTAAAATTCCTAGTTGAGAACGGACCGTTCCAGTTTCTTAAAAATGCAATCCCAAATTTGTAATGTTAAAAATTTCTTAAATTTTTAATTGGTAAAAATTAATTTGTACAATTAACGAATGTATCTTCATTTCATTCTAATTTATGTCAATAATTTATGGGTTATATTGATAAATTTTACAATTTTTACTTGAATCCCATTAACTATGTTCGTATTTTTGTAAACCTTAATGGTTAAGCCATATGGTACTACTCAATTTGATAAAATTGATATACGATTATTCTGAGGATATAGACCTTTGATGACCCCTGTCAATGCTTCTGATATTTACTTTGGTATTTGCAAATTGTTAATCACTATCCTTGTCTTCTCCTGTTATATGAACACTTGTCTCTTGAACTATGCTATTTCCTTGTTGTTTTGGTCTGCAGGAGCAAAAGCTTTTGGATGAAATTGATCGGCTTAATGAAGAACTACGTGATTGTGATGAGAACATAAATAGACGAAAATCAGATATTACTGCTTTGGAAACTCTCATTGCTCAGTCACGTGAAGGGCTTAATCATTATAAAGTAGAGAGAGACAAGTTACATGACGAGAGGAAGTATGTATAACTCTTGTTTTGTCTTTTCTGTTTCAATTTCTATGTATACTTTTTTCCTAGATGAAAAAAGTCATATTGTTATAGTGAAGAATAAGTACATCAAAAGTGTAGCATGGGTTCCCTCCTTAGCAAAAGCCGAAAATGTAAACTGCAAAAGTATATTATTTATTACATTCCATAGTGAAGAAATTATTTCTTATGAATTTAAATTCTTACATTATAGGTCCCTATGGGGCAAAGAGAATGAACTTACTTCTGAAATTGATAAGCTGAGAGCAGAAGTTGAGAAGGCTGAAAAGAGTCTTGATCATGCAATTCCTGGTGTGAGTAATCCCTCTTTCTAGTTTCTTTAACATCTCCTTTGTAAATGCCATTAAATTATCAAGAATGCTTGTGATGGCTGTTCTTAGGTATTGCATCTTTCATTATGAACGGGTACTTCTGACCTTGTTCAGTGAAGAATTTTAGTAACTTGTATCCTATCTGACGTGGGTTATATTGATAAATTTTACAATTTTTACTTGAATCCCATTAACTATGTTCGTATTTTTGTAAACCTTAATGGTTAAGCCATATGGTACTACTCAATTTGATAAAATTGATATACGATTATTCTGAGGATATAGACCTTTGATGACCCCTGTCAATGCTTCTGATATTTACTTTGGTATTTGCAAATTGTTAATCACTATCCTTGTCTTCTCCTGTTATATGAACACTTGTCTCTTGAACTATGCTATTTCCTTGTTGTTTTGGTCTGCAGGAGCAAAAGCTTTTGGATGAAATTGATCGGCTTAATGAAGAACTACGTGATTGTGATGAGAACATAAATAGACGAAAATCAGATATTACTGCTTTGGAAACTCTCATTGCTCAGTCACGTGAAGGGCTTAATCATTATAAAGTAGAGAGAGACAAGTTACATGACGAGAGGAAGTATGTATAACTCTTGTTTTGTCTTTTCTGTTTCAATTTCTATGTATACTTTTTTCCTAGATGAAAAAAGTCATATTGTTATAGTGAAGAATAAGTACATCAAAAGTGTAGCATGGGTTCCCTCCTTAGCAAAAGCCGAAAATGTAAACTGCAAAAGTATATTATTTATTACATTCCATAGTGAAGAAATTATTTCTTATGAATTTAAATTCTTACATTATAGGTCCCTATGGGGCAAAGAGAATGAACTTACTTCTGAAATTGATAAGCTGAGAGCAGAAGTTGAGAAGGCTGAAAAGAGTCTTGATCATGCAATTCCTGGTGTGAGTAATCCCTCTTTCTAGTTTCTTTAACATCTCCTTTGTAAATGCCATTAAATTATCAAGAATGCTTGTGATGGCTGTTCTTAGGTATTGCATCTTTCATTATGAATTTTACTTGAATCCCATTAACTATGTTCGTATTTTTGTAAACCTTAATGGTTAAGCCATATGGTACTACTCAATTTGATAAAATTGATATACGATTATTCTGAGGATATAGACCTTTGATGACCCCTGTAATGTTGCTGCGGAGAAATAAAATCGCATTTTAATTATTCTTAGAAAGCAAAGTCTATTTTTTTTCTTAATCGGTAACAATTATCCAACTCCTAATGTAGTTATTTTAACATAATCTAACTCATCGGTTCATTGAACTATGAGTCTTATAAACCTCTTTAATACTCTCATGGATAAACAAAAATATTATATTCCAAAAATATCGATAATTTTTTAAGAATAATTTAGAGATTTAATTATATAATCTATTGCTTCCCTCTTCAATTTTACAACTCAAGGGAATGAAAAAAAAACATATTATAATGTATGATAAATTTTAATAATTTAATTATTAAATTATAAATTTTTAATGTTTAAATTAAGTTTATAAACTTTTAAAAATTATTTTATTAATTTTAATTGACAGATAGTCATAAAATTATTTTATATACAAATTTGAATTTATATAATAAAGTATTATATAATTTTTAAAGATTTAAAAATTTTGTAAACTTTATCTATATATCATGAATTTTTATTTGAATGATTATATTGAAGTCATTTGACCCCTTTTATTATAATATATAAAAGTAAATTAATATTTATTTTTAAGATAATTTAAAACTGTTAATGCAACATAGTATATATAATTTTTTAATTTGTTATAATAATAAAAACTTGGTAAACGGACCTAAAACAAAAGTTTTCATATGCTTATAAATTTCTAGGTACATACATGTATGTATCTTGCTATAAAAATAAAAATAAAAATAAAAGTAGTTAATATTATTCTTTTTGGATGTGAGTCGTGACCAATATAGATCACCAAAGTTACGCCTTCTACTTATTCGGCTAAAAATCTAATCACAGTCATCACATATCATTGTAATTGCTCTTTTCAATGAACTTACAATTTTAATTTGGTAAGAATTTGCATCTCAGGGCCTTGCGAGAGTATCTAATTCTATCTCAATCCATTCGAGTCAGATGCTAATATTGGATTTTCTTATTCGGTTTACCATATGACACTAACCCCCTACTTCCTAACTTCTTAAGGCAAAATACCGTCATATAAAACTAATTTGCAACATAGGCTTACATATAAATTACATCTCGACACCGACATGGAGCTACAAATAAGGGAATCCATAACATGAATGTCATTCTAAAACAACTCGAATTCTACATGCTCTCCTGCTTTATACTCTAAGTACTTAGCACCATTGCCCTGTAAGTTCATCATGTCTGAAACTCCAAAATCATACAAGTCTGGAAGTTCTGGAGGGACAGCGCAACGAATTAAGGCCCAGTTAAGCCCATCGAAGAAGGGATGCTGTTTAATCTCGGCGGCCCCTTTCTCTGAACCCAAACGGTTTTCAGGGTCTTTAACCAACAACCCTCTAATCAAATCCTTGGCTTGGAAACTAACCAATGGGCTGTCAGGGAATCTAAGACTCTGCAACACTACATTCGCCAATGTTTCTTCATTGTTTGAACCTTTAAAGGGTGTTCTACCATATAAAAGTTCATAGAGAAAAACACCAAATGTCCACCAGTCAACAGCAGCTCCATGTCCCTCTTCTTTGATGATCTCCGGAGCCAGGTATTCATGTGTGCCAACAAATGAGTTAGATCTCGCATCAGTGGGTTCGGCCACAAGCTGTGGCAATGATCTGACCTGGGTAGCAAGATCAACTTTTAATTTCCTTGCTTTTGCAGTGGTGGGTAGGAATCTTGGGCTGAAGCATGGAACTTGACAAGATGGTTCAATGCAGAATGGCTCAATGCAACTTGATTGTGCACTTAGACCAGAAATTTTTGCAGGGTCAATATCAGAAGATGATTTCAGAAGTGTTGGGTTAACAGCACACCTTAGGGAGAGATCAAAATCTGTGAGCATAATGTGGCCATCTTCCCGAACAAGAATGTTTTCGGGTTTCAAATCACGGTAAACAACTCCAAGCATGTGCAAGTACTCCAAAGCTAGAAGGACTTCAGCAACATAAAATCTGCACGATACATGAACATTAGTTTAAGAAACAACCAAATGATGCTTCCACTATATGGTGTGAAAATATATTATTACCAAAATAATCGGCAAGCAATTTCAGCAATATGAATGGTGGGGGGCTCATTTTCACCATTGTACAACAACAAAAAATGAAAAAACAATATCTTTTTTTATCAACTCTAAAGAAAGGAAATCAAAAACAGGGGTCAGACTTGGGGAGAATACAGCCAGGTTTTAGAAATACAGGGTGAAGCAGCAGTAAGAGGCTGGAGATTCAGTTTGTGGACACGGGGAAGATTACATTGCTGGCTGAAGCACGGGAAAAGGTAATATGTGACAAAAATTGCACAACAACAGATAGTGAACATATCAGTAGTAGCCTCATCTATCAATAACCCCTTAGTCACGGATACGATTTTATTATCTGTTTCAAATCTATCAAATTTATAAAATGAACAAAGTTTCTATAAACAAAGAATGGACAAATCCCAAGTAATCATGAAGCACAATCAACGTGAAACAAACTACTGACTTTATTTCATAACAGGTATGATTTACTATGAAATGGATTACTAGTTAAACAAGCCGCAACAGGGCAGAAGTATTCTTAATTGATGCAGCAACTTAAAATTCATAGATTCATATTCAGTATACTACAGCAACAAAGTATAAACTATCCAGAAGAAACATGTCCAAAACCTATTCAGTACACAAGATAATAGCATATATGCACCACAAAACATGAAAATGAGCACAAGCACTGCAAGAATAATCAAGCAAATTAGATATATTTGTTTATAGCAGAAAATACTTGAGCGGTTGAGATATCATCTCATTTATTGCACGCCTAAAATTTAACGGGTGCGTGGTTGCATGTACCTTCTGACCTAAAACAAAATAAAATGCTAATATATAACTGGACAGTTGCTCTTAGTATCTTACCTTGCTGCTGGCTCCGAGAAACATCTACCAAGCTGCTTCTGCCGTAGAACATGAAGATCTCCACCTGGACAATACTCCATGACCAGACATGATAGATTATCTGACGTAAATTGCACATACAACGTGGGAAGAAATGGATGATCCAGCATCCTTAATATTTCTCTTTCAGTTTGAGCCCTAGGCATCTTCTTTCTTCTTTCCAAAAATTCATTGTCCATGACCTTAATAGCAAACAAGCAACTTGTGCCAATCAGTTCCGCAAGATACACAGTCCCAATGTCTCCACAACCAAGTTTCTTTAAAAGATTGAAGTTTCTCAAGCCCAAGATTCCATGCTGCATTTGAGCATGTCGTATGGCTGCCCACCTGACATCCTTTGACATGTGGGGCCTAGTGCTACGACTTGAGCCACTAACATTGCTCTCATCACTGGTACTTGTACTACTACTGTACTCACCTTGACTACTCTTTGAACTTTGTGAAAATTCAAGTTGCTCCTTCAACTTGGGGTTCTTCACTTTTGCAACTGTTTTGCTTTTATTATCGCCATTTGACACCAAACCAGGTTTATTTGAACCAGATTTCACATTACTTAAGTTTACTCCATTTCCAGGACCGGTAGAGTCCGAGGCCACAACACCTTGGGTTTTTTCTGCACGTGTATTTTCTAAAGCACACCTACATCTCTCACAAACCAATCGAGGTGTACCAGGAGCTGGCTTATTAACTTCATTGGGTGTAGGACCACATAAAGCCGAATCCGAATCCTCCTTTAGTTTCTTCTTACTCAGATTCTTGTTCCTGATAACCGATTTAACTGTGCGGGAGGCATGGCGTGGCAGTTTGCTAACTCTGTTGCCATTTGCAGAAGTAGATGAAGAAGATACTATTTGCAACCTACCTTTCCTCCCGGTATTTGACGCCAATGATTTATTTCCCAACTTTTTAGAGGAAGAATCATTTTTGGGCACCTCTGATTTGCTTCCAAATGTATTACAAAGGGAGGGAGAAGAGGCAGATGCTTTTTCTTCTGTTTCAACAGGTACCACTCGCTGCGATTGAATCCCAACTTTACTTGATGAGCATGCCAAATCACTTTGAATTGATGAAGTGCCAGAATCATACTGAGCCATTGCAACAGCAATTCCCCGAGACGAATGAATGTTCCGGGTCGATGATGTGATTTCAGCAGTTTGATAGGATTGAGAGGTTTTCTCCAAGGAAAGAGACTTACTTTTTTCGGGCACTACAGATATTTCGATTTGACGCTCCTTGGTCTCAACATAGGAAGGCCCAGAACGACTGGTTTCAGCTACAACTGAATTGTACAATGTCTGTATCTTCCCAACTTCAGATATTCTTGGAGAAGCTGTTGACTTTGATAATCGTTTCAGAGCGGCCATTTCTGATGCCTTAGATATACAATGGTCTCTTAATGCTTGCTTCAAATTAACAGGCTCAGAAGTCCCAACTCTTGGGGACCGAGGAACACCCATTGTAATTGGCTTTTTTAATGCACTTTTCAGCTTAGAACTTGCACCATCTTGTAAAAGGCCCAAATCCCTTGATGAAGATTTAAGAGCAATCGACTCAAACAGCTTATTAATATCATCATCTAGATCGTCCTTGTATCCCAGTTTCAACAGCGAAAGTTTCTGAGTTTTTGCGGACGTGCTACACTCAGAATTGGACTGAAAAATCCCAGGAGCTTTCCTTGTATTTCGCTCCTCCCTTGCTTCAACTATTTCACAAGTGCCAGAGAATGAACCCATCACAAGACAAACTGCTCAGCTAATACTTTCTCATATAACGGTAACACATAAAGGCTGATTCTCAATGCTCAAGTCACTACTCATTGATTCATTTCAGGTGTAGTGTATATCATACATCATAAGATCACAATTGAAGGAAAGAGAACCCAGCATCCAAACCATTCCTTGGTCAAATCAAAATCGAAGTTTGAATGGTACATCCACTCTTTTTTCCCGGCTATATGATATTTGAAACCCTGCTGTAACAGCCAACATTTGAAAGCATCAGCAAACCAAAAATATAATATGAAAACGGTAATTTAAGAAACAGGGAAGAAAGCTGAGTTGACAGATAAGGTGAGATCCAAATAAGTGTGAAACTCGGTACTTAAATTATTTTCCCTTCCCCTTCATTTTCTTATCGGTCCTCCAACTCCCACAAATAGTCAAATACCCTCCCCAATCAAACAAACCCTAAGAAGCAAACAAATTGGACCGAATCATAATACATTCAAGCAAGCCAGACTCGGGTACACATACCCAAATCCAAGTCCCTTGTTATTCTTTAAACCATTAAGACCCCCCCCCCCCTCTCCAAAAAAAGATATAGGGAACCATTCTCTTTTCTACAAGTGTTAACCTAATTAGTCAATTCAGCAGATCAGGAGAAATGCAGAGCCAGAAGAAGCCATAACATAAGCCAGTTTTTGGTTCTGGTTCATAAGCACATTACCCTATTACGAAAGGAAGGAGTGGTCCTATGAACTCAGAATCAATCCCCTACCCTAAAAAAAATGGTCCCAACACCAAAAGAATTAAAAAAAAACAAAAAACAAAAAACAAAAAACAAAAACAAAAAAAAAAGAAAAGTATCTAAATACACAAATTTGTGGACGGATTAGAAACCCAATTCCATCAAATCCACAACAGCTGAAAAGTAAAACGACTGAAAGCGCAAAAGAAAAAGGCTGAAATCTGAGTTTAGAGTTGCAGAAATGTACAGTATAAACAAACAGTGCGTGTTGCGCATATGCATACGTATAGGGTCGACGAGTTAGCAGCAAAATAGAAAGAAAGACGGTGCGATCGGAAAGCGGAAGCAGTAGCAGCTAGCAGAAGCAACGGAGAAGAGAGAATGGTGCATTGACGGTGCAGCCTCAAGTGAAAAGAAGAAAAACCCTAACACATGGAAGACACAGAGGAATGAGGCGAGTAGAAACTAGAACTAGAAAGGTTATAGAGAGAGAGAAACAGAACGTAGCATGTTTCTGTTCCGTTTTCAGCAATGGCACTGATTGCTTTGTGCAGAGAGGACCCCACCGGAAATACAATAAAATGAAAATTCCAAATCCAAAGTGTAAATACACATAAATTCTTCATTTATGAAACCGAAAATGTTGAAAAGACACATGGGAGGAGAATGTACTGATGAGAGATGAGGGCATGCTGGGAATTTTAAAATGGATGAACGTTTCCCATGCTTGTTTTCGCTTAGCCCTACACGCGCTCTTTACTTCAATAATGTCCCCACTTTTAAATACTCTATCTCACTTCTCACATTTGTACGATTTTATTTCAATCTCAGATACCTCTTCTTGCATAATAAATACTTTGTACCTATAGTTTAGAAATAAAATAAAATAAAATTCATAGTATCCCATGTACCCTTTGCGTAATTTATTAAATTTGGATGTTACTCTTGGGGCTAATTAAATATTCGAATTTAAATTATATAATATGATGAGACTAATCTTTGTAAAATAAATTAATATTTTTTTCGTAATGTTTCGTACCTTTGTTACATGCGCGTAGGACGTTTACGAATTGCTTAGTTGGGCCAATAGAGGTCAACTTTTTGTTATTAGCTTCTCGTTGGATTTAAGCAATGCGTCGTTTTAATTTTAATTTAATTAATGAAAATGAAATCATTTCTTATTTTCAAAGAAATGATGAGAAGGCAATTTGCAGTCAAATGAGAAATAAAAAGCTGTAAAGAATCTGGTTTTTTCTTTTCCCAAGGCAAAACTGAATCATCGTGTTAATCATACTGTTCCCCATGGTAGAAATTCTTAAATTGTTACTGCGACTCCAGATTCCAGAATCTTTAAATTATAAACCCCATTTCCAAAATCCAGAAGTGTTAGTAGTATTTATACAGGTTATCAGATACTGACTATGAAATTTTGTATAAGTAAACAAAATTAATTTAGTTAAATATATTTAATTTTTACGATTTTATATAAGCTATATATTATATTTATTAAAATAATTTTAATTGTATTTATTATAAATAATATTTTATTTATTATTTTAGAAGTATTTTTAAATTAAGAGCATTAAATAAAATTGAATTAGTTAAAATTTATTTCTATTTAGATTTAAAATTTTAAATATTTTTTAATTATATATAAGTTTGATAGGGAGTATAATATTACTCCCATATTCATATCTACATTCAGATGAAGCAAATGACAGAAAAGCACATTGTTTCTTAACATACCTAAGAGATTAATGATACTAGGTTGCGTGAGAGTTCCTATCAAAATTATGCATTCCGTCCTAGAAGCAATTAATGGTCAATGTGTGATAATTACATTTAATAAGAATAATTAATTGCATTAGTTACATAAAGGTCAAATCACTATATTACTTTTAATTTAGACAATTTTTTTAACTACTTTTCTTTTGTTATTACTGTTTTTAATTAAATATTCAAATAAAATATATTCATGTGTTCCAAACGATAAATAATAATTAAAAAATGTTTTGATTTTTTAATTGCTTATTCATTTAAAGATCTTTTGTTTTAAATTGTTCTAATAAGTATTCAATTTTTATAAGTAACGTTAAATATAAACTTATATATTCAAATCATAATTAACTTTTCCATCAATCAAAGTTTATTTTTATAACTTTATAAAATAATTTTTTTATATGACTAGATATTTTATAAATTAATTATTATTTTCCTTGCCAATAAATTAATATCATAAATACTTTTTAAATATTGGCGTAAAAAATATTATATATATATAGATGAAGGTTCAAACGACACCGGTGTAACTTTTATTAAGTGTTACACCACTTAATAACTTTATATTAAATGTGAATTTTGAAAATCCAACAGTTAAATTGAAAGTTCATATCTCTTAAATCATGTATATCAAATTTTGTTAAAATTGAACAACAACTTGAAGGTAATCAAAGTGTCCATATTTTAGTATATTTTGAAATATATATATTACGTCAATTTTGTTTTATGAGAATGAAGTATCAAATCATCTTAGATTAACATAAAATTTGATATACATGATCTAGAAGATATGAACTTTCAATCTAACGGTTGGATTTTCAAAATTCGTATTTAATATAAAATTATTGAGCGGTATTTAGAAAATTAGATGTTAGAGCTAACAATTAATGATCAATTAACCATTGAATGTGATAACTATATTTAATTAATTAGTTAATTGCAATTAATTTCATTAGATTGCGTAACGTACAAGTTAAATCATTACATTAACTTCAATTTTGACAATTTGGTGTAAACTTCCTTTCTTTTATTTTTTAAGATTTTTAATTGAATCTTCTGAAAAAAAATAATTAAATGTTTAAATAAAATGTTTTAATGTTTTACGGACAATAAATCAAAATTAAAAATAATAGTATATTTTATTTTTAAATCGATTATCCAGTTAAAGATTTTAATTTTAGTTTTTTATTATTAATCATTATATTTAACCTTATATATATGTGCGCGCATATTCATATTATAATTAAGGTTTTTTTCAATTAAAATTAACTTTTAAGGTTTTGAAATTAAAGATTGTGAATGATTGCATATTTTATATTTATTATCAAGAAACTGAAAATTTAAATAGTTTTAAAAAATAGTTTTTATTCATGTTTTGTATGCATTTACATATACTTATAAATATAAAAAAAATTCCTAACATATATTATTAATCACAATTCAGTCGATCATTTTCGTACGTAAAATAAGTTAATAGTTGCTCTAAGAAGCAAACCAACTGACCAAAATTAAAAGTTATGTAAAAATAATAATAATAATAATAATTTAATAATAATAATAATAATAAACTATTGTTAACAAATTGTATATCAGAGTTAACATTTAATGGTCATGTAATTACGATTTTTGTTTTTTTCATCGTATTTAATTAAACTAATTAATAATACTTATTTGCCTTAATTATTTAAAAGTTACTACATTGTCTTTTATTTTGGCAATTTATTGCAAATTATCAAACTATTTTTAAGTACTAAAATTCATCCGTGTAAAACTGTAAACAGTTTGAGGTGTGTTTCTTCACTATAATACTGTGTTGTTTTGTCTAATTGTTCATTAAATTTCAATGATATTAATAGTTTGTTGTACTTGTTGTTTTAGAGTTTTGAGGTAAGGGACCTAAAAGTTAAGTTATCTCTAAAAGGTAATCATAAATAAAGTTGAGTTAGTTTAACTTAAAAAAATATATTAAAAAAATTTAAAACATAAATTTTATAAGTTCATATTTTAATTAATAAAAACTAGAGAGATTATATTTTGAACTCAATTTTCTACTTCTTCTTTGTTATCAAAAATTCTTCTTTATTCTTTTCCTATAACTAAAGTTTAGGAGATTCAAACTTTTGAAGCTAAAGATCTCAAGTTTAAGTCATGCAAATTTCTCTTTTTCCTTTTCTCTTTTTGATTGATCGACTAAAAGTAAAAGAAACCTATAGATTGATTTATTTGTGTTGACTTTTGTGTTATTTGCCCCATTGGTGACATTTATGTTGAAAATGCATGAAATTCATGTTGTGGGATTTCGAGATTTTCAAAGGATGAAAATGGGTTGCTGATTGAGTTTGATAATGATTGCATGTGATTTTTTTAGGTGTTTTGAGTTATATGAGGTATGGAGAAGAAGAATCATGGATTGCATGTGTTGTATTTGATGTGGGTTGTTATAACCAGAATCACAACAAGAATGATGCAAATATATGTTTTTAAAGAAATCGCCATCAATATCTTATTTTGAGGGGAAAATTTTGAAAACTATTTAAAAAATGATTTTTCAAATTAAAGTTGGGTTTGAAAGTCAATTACTTATAGCAAAAATATTAAAATCTTATAATACTTGTTAAAAACAATACCCTTAATTAATCATGCAAAGTTATATAACTATAAATATTTATTTTACCCCTAACTCTAACAAAGAAATATATTTTTTATCCTTTACTTAAAAAATAATTTATATGTGAAAAAAAAACTAAGGTAAGAATTTATGTTAGCAAATAACAAGTCATTCAAGTCTCAATTTTTATAACATTAAAAATAGAATTATTCAATTAAAGCTATAGATATGTACCATTGTTAACTTTCTTTAAAAAGATAATTTTTTTTATCCTATGTCTAAAAATTTATAATAGCAAATAACTATTTTATAAACTTCTATGATTTATATATATGATATTAAAGTTAAAAGTGTTACTCTATTAATACCATTAATCATTGCACAAATATTTTAAAAATAATAATTTATATATGAAATCAACTTTTTTTTTTTTTTTGTATTTTTGTTTAAAGAAATGAAATTTGCGTTAAAATTTAAGTTAGCAAATGACTAATTAATAAACTTTTATGGTAACATTAAAAAAATTGTTATTCAATCAATATTATCAATTTTTGTATTTATTTTTTATATTTTGTTAAAAGATAAAAAAATTACATATTTTTTACCTTTTTGTATAAAATAAGATATTTTTTGCATAATAATTCAAGTTAGTAAATAACTAGTCATTAAACTCTCGTAATAAAAAAAATGTTAAAAATAAGAAAAGGGTTATTCAATTGATGTTATTGATTATTGCATATTGAAATAAATTTTAAAGAATATTTTTTCATATAAAAATAATTTATACCTTATTCGATGCATAAAAATTTACACTAACAAATGATTACTCTATAAATTTTTGTAATCTACGTGATATTTATGATAGGATTGTAATAAAATTAATATCATAAATCATTAATTAAGATAAATATTTAATTTTTCACTCTAAATACCATGATTGATCTTATATATTAGAAACACTAAAATTTAAATTTTACTCCATTTTCGAAAGAATCAAAAGAGGAAAAAAAAAACTCAACAAATAAATGAAACCATCTAACTTTACACATCCTGTGACTCACAACCATATCAATTTTTAAATATTTGTTATTTTATATTTTGTCCCTCTGAAATAATAGAAAAAAACAAGTTACATGTACATGATAAAAAATCATAGACATGCATCTTCATTTTTCTTATTATAATACAAAGTAATATATATATATATATATATATATATATATATATATATATATAAACATGTCA